TCACAAAAATGTCGAAGATTTTTTAACTGGGAAATCACCGGACTAATCCAATTTCACGACTGTTTATTTATCGAAACAAGAATAAGTTCGTGATTCGAAGTGAGACGCAAATACCTCTTACATGTACCAGTCACTGACCGGTTTGCAATTCCGCAAAACATGTCAATTCCCATTATGTCGCGTCGCATCGCAGTTAGATGTAGTGACACTCTCTTCGAACGTTTTTCCCTCTTGTACGATTCAGAATAACTGTGGAAATTTCTTTAATTTGGATAGCCGTTTTGTGAAGGCAGGTAGACGCTTAGGGCCTGTTTACATGGAGTTGGGGGTCCCCATGTTAGTGAGGGTAACCCGCCTGTCCATACAATCTCTCATATGGTCACCCCCACCTATCATGTAAACTTGATCAAATTAATATGAGAGATTATATGGACAGGGGGGTTACCAACTACACGTGAATAGGTCTCTAAATTGTGTACTTGAGGTTGTACAATGTATTTGCATAATTATATCTGTGACCAACCTTTATTATTCTGGCTGCTTTTGTGTTCCCATTATATTTATTTATTTATTTTTTTTAGTTAAAAAGAGAAAACCGTTATTTAGCAATCCTATTAAAATGAAATATTTAGCGTGAATAGTAACAGTTTATCAGCCTACCTCATAAAATGGCTTTTCGGCCAATTTTACAATTGCAATTTGATAATTAAAAGCATAATTATCTACTTGACAATATGTGAAATTTATTGGAAAAAAAAATGGAATAAATAAGGAATTTATGCTTCTTCACTTCAGCCTTAAGCTGCTCTAGATTCTTCTATATTACCTGAAGATTCTGCAAAGTCATTCCAGAGGTGGACTGCTCATGGCCGCTGACTGGGAGTGAATCTAAAGGAAGGTATGTCTAACTTGTTTCTGTTTCCGATATTACGAGAGTGCGCATCGACCATTTTCTTAAACCTGTTACAGCTAAGGGGCTGGGCAAGTCCCTTAACATGAGTTAAATAAACTCGATTTTTTTTTTAAGGCCTGTCAAAAAAAGCAAGGCACGAGTTTTATCACTGGTTAAAAATTTAAAATCTTGCGCTTATTACACTCGAGTGTTAAACCAGAGATAAAACACTGCTGTTCTTGTTTTAAACATTTCTAAACACGGAACGCTTTCAGACTACAAAACGATTGTTTTTCCTTTTCCTACATTGAGATACATTACCTTAGAATTAAACACCAAAAAACATTCACCAACATTTGACAATCAACTTGAACGAAATGGAATAAGAGTGATAAAAATTAATTTGAAACAGCGTGAATACACTTTTTTTTTTTGTGGCGTTTTCGCTGCATGCCGTCGCAGTCGGGGTTGCTTAATATGCTTTGTATATGGAAAGAGACCGTGACTGATAGGGAGATCGGGTATGCCAAATATGGAGAGTATGGACTCTACGCCTCCGACTGAGTTTAATAAACTCTGGAGAGGCTAAACTGTAACGTCACTGAAATTCGCAGTAGGCTGCGAGATTAAAGACGCACCTTTTGAAGAGAAAGTATCATGCCGCTAGCACGCAAGCTCAGAAAGAAAAAAAATTATAGGCGTTTGTCATTTTGCACTTTTCAGCCTGACTATTATGATAACAAGCTTCAAAAGTATCTGACACTTGCGCGAGCTTATTTTTAAAAAGGGAAGATTTCCAGCAAGTCCAGTTCGCTACTCTCCGTTATTTGCTCTATGAGATCCCTTGACGCACACGGATCCTTGCAGAAGAAGAAAATGAAATTGCTTAAAATTGCAGGCAATGAAAAAATCAAACAGGAATAGTTCATACTTCCTTTTGAGTTCTAGCCATCTTCGCTCAAGGGATTTTGAAACCCGACCTTGCTGCCAATGTTCCAAGGCAACCTTATAGCACAAGACCACTCAATAAGAATTTTTTTTTTTGTTTACAGTTACAAAGTTATAAAGTAAAAGTATTTTATTACCGACACTACGACGCGCGGGATTTGTGAGTTTTCTTAGATAGCCACATTTTCATAAACTAACTGAGTTATTCCTCGCGCGCTGATTGGCTAATTTCTATCAACAGGAAGAGGACAGACATGAAATTTTAATTTCTGCGAGACGGAACACCCTCTTAATACGGACACCCGTATATAACGGACAATTTCTTAAATTTACCCTTTTAATACCGACACCGATTAATACGGACACAATGGGCACTTTTCTGTGTCCTGAGGCACAAACTCTGTCAACCCTGCTATTTACGGACACTGACTATCTACGTACCGTCTATTTTCCTTGTCACAATCACGTGCTAATTGTAGATATTTTACACTGTTCAAGCAATGGCAGATTTCTGGGTTAAGTAGCAGAATAGCTTGATATGTTTGATTTTAAGTCAGTTTTTCTTTCCGTGTACTATATAGCCATTTGATAATTACTACTCAAGTTTCACTTCCTTGGCTTTTCGGCGCAGTCATTGTTCCTACCCTTCTTCCTCTTTGTCTGCCATAATACAAGATATTTCTGGGACGTTTATACGGAGAGCCCACTCAATAGGGCCATTAGTCAGTCTTTCTTTCCGTGTACACCATGGCATGTCCCCTAATGTGTCCATATTAACCAGGTTCTACTTTTATTAGTTTCTTTTTGAAAGGCAAAATGTTTTTTACTGATCCTTTTTCCAAACTTTTAAAGTAAAAAGCAAATTGACGCCATAGGTCCGCAGCAACATTGTCAAATTTTCTAGTAGCCTGAGATCATGCCCTCTCCCTATTATCCCTTTATGTCTCTCACGGGAAGAGGGCATGATACATTTCTTTGTCGGATGACATGTAAAAAAGCCAGAATCTGGACTTTTTTCTGATTGGATGGGAAACAATACGGATGATTTGCGCTGTTCCGATTGGCCAAAATGCCGCCATCCGTTAGTTGTTGTTGATTTCAGTCTGCATTTTTGCTTGCGTAATGAGCAGTGAATACACACGCGAGTTTGTTATGAAATTTCTGCCGGCTCAGTTTTCTTGAATTTGAAGAATGCCTAAATAGAAGTTTCATCCATTGAAATATTTTCCATCTCATCGTATACTAAAACAGTTGCAGTCAAAACTTCACCGATCATTTGAATGCAATTTGATACCGGCTACAAGTTACAGAAGCGACAAACAGGTTCACTTTTCAAGTAATCAATTCATGAATGGAATTTTGACCTGGTTTGACTGTAATTCCTCCTTCAGAAATCATGCTGCGAATTATTCTGAACGATCGTCGTTTTCACAACACCTTTCAGTTCGTGAAATATGGTGCTTCAGCCTAATTTTTTTTCACTGCTTTCGGCACAGAACGAACTCAACGAGCTTTAACCAGTAAATTCTTTATTATTTGTACTTGTTAAATAAAGGTACGGCAGCTCCAGCTAGCGGTATTTCATCACAAATTTTTTTGGGGGAAGCGCCATCTGAACATGGACGTATTTAAAAATTTTCTTCTCCCTAAAATTGAATTCAAAAGAGACATTATTCGCGCCAAAATTTGATTCCCGTATGGTAAACGCTTATTGGCTAATAACATGACAGGTAAAGCAGACGTTAAATTGTGTAAATTAGGGGGCGGTTGACTGCTTGTTAAATAAATGTATCAGGCGTTATTTTTTTTTCCTCTCGAGCCAAAGAAGACAAAAAAAAAAAAAAAAACCGCCTGATCTCAGGTTAATTTTCTAGTAGATTCACTCGCCTGGGGCTCGTGCTCGTGGATCCACAACATTTTGACAATGTTATGATACGATTTTATGATCAATAAGAGGACAGATGATAAAGAAACTAGCGTCAATGTGATGAAATGAACCAATTTTAGTGCATAAAACTAGAAATACGTTTTCGCAAAAATCTCGCGAAGCTAACAGGGTCAGCAGTTAAAATAAACAGTAAAAAGCCAATGGGTAAAACAACGATGAATGAAAAAAAAAAAAAAATGGAAGTAGACACGCCGGGGTTAGAACCCAGCTGTTGCACCCCAAATTCCTCCAGCGAAAAAGTGCGGCCTCTAACTACTGGGCCATGCGACCACTGCGCCGATAACTCATCAAAATTAATAGTCTTGAAGTATTTTTCTCTGCCATTCACACTGTTTGAACCATATCGAGCTGCATTTATTATGAATTCAAAGATACATTTGAGGAAAAATAGCTGAAACGAGTATATCAAAACCATTTCGCATTATTTCCGTGTTTATTCACTCTCGGGCTTTAAATAGGCCGCTCGATTAACGGAGTGGTCTTCTTCTTCGCTGCTCTCGCTGAAGTTCAGGTCACCGTTCTTTCGGTGTTAAACCTTCCTCGGCAAGGACTTCCACTTGTGCAATTGAGCACTGGTTTGTTTGCAGCCCGCTGTTATTTGCCTCAGAAATACGTTGCGATTCGCAAGCATACAATAAACAGAGGATGAATAAAAAGTCGCTGGCCATGTTGCCTGGAAACCCAAAATGCACGATGACGTGCATTCGGCGTCTTTATTATTTGTTTATGGCTTGTTGGTAGGCAATTTCGGATACCAAACCGATAGAAATATTTATGAACAAAGCGAAATCGCAGCTCGCATGCGATCCTGGCGTAATCCTCGCGCTGCGCGCGCACGACAAAATTATACACTCGCTCCGCGAGAATTGTTATTTAACCTACTATTTTCCTACTTCATCGTATGTAGCAGAGATCACTCATCCATTTGCAATGGCAGATCGAGGCAGCTAAAGAATGCCTAAAGATATATTTGTCCCCCTTTCCCATGTGATTGCTTAACCTCAGTCTGTATATCTACCAGTGTGTGAAAGCCAGTAACCAATCCTCAGTTACTCGTAGGTAGACAATTATCGCCACAGTGGGGCAGGTGTATCTTACAGGACGTGAATATTACCCACTTTGAGCCTGTTTATGTACAGTAGATAAAACTTTTCGAAACAATAAATTACAAAAAAATATCAAAATATTCAATGATTTTCTAACTTTTTAAAAGTTAAATCATTATTTCTTTATATATCAGAATGTCAGAATTACGGAAGCCTTAACAGTCATAACAGAAAGATTACGTACTCCTACTCCATTGGCAATTATTGTGACGGTGGAATCGGACCTGGTTGGTTTCGTTTCGAGAGGTCTGCCGGCACAAGAATGCCAACTTCATGTCCACCCAAAAACAGATGTGGCACTCATGCAACCGGCTGGTTGAATGGTGGACACCCCACAGTAGCAGAAGGTCAGGTCAGCAGGACGGTGTGTTTTCACTGGAGTAGTAGCTGCTGTGATTGGTCAACAAACATCAAAGTGAGAAATTGTGGTTCATATTATGTGTACTATCTTAATGATACACCAACTTGTTCTCTCCGTTATTGTGGCACTAACTGAAAACAAGGTGCAAGTAAAGTAATACATAATGCTATCAAAAAAAAGGAAAAAAAAAGACTTCAATATTTGAATTTCTATTATAACTTAAGCAAACGGAGAAAAAAATCTATATAGCACTGTAATATAGCTCAACGTACTACTCCAGTTAACAAGCAAGAACAGTTTTCTTTAAACTTAATTATAAAAAGAGGATATTTTATTTTTTGCTTTTAGTTGTTTTGAAGGTCAAGTAAGAAATACAATTATAGTATAGAACTTACCAGGAAGACAAACTAGGTAAAATAACACATTCAATTAGCAATACAGGTTTCTGTGTCATTTGTCACGGTAATCAGCAATATACACTGAGTCCGAGAACGCCGTGTAGTTGCTAAATAAACCGCGATGGACAGATGTGTTACTAGTTAGGACAAGATGTACTGGGAAGTGCGAGATATATATGAATCTGCTTACTTGTTTTAATATTGATGGGTATAGGGATGCACTCTGTAAAATCGGAAACGAAATGCATAGCGACTATAGGTACAGTCACTCTCGTCTTGCACGCACATCGGCAATACGAACAGCAGCTAAATTCCCTTTCTACTGCAGACTCTTGCTTGCTAATAACAAGGACACTAGCCCTGCGGTCCCGATGGGGACTGCTTTAGGTTGGGCAATTATTGGATTAGGATTAGAGTTTGTTTAAGAAATAAACGTACAATTTAGTGAAATACCTGTCACATGTGTTTGTACTCATTTAGTACGACAATAGGCTATTGGCAAGTTGGGGTCATTTTACTCACGACCAGAATCTCAGGATTACAAGGATTGCATAAAGGAGCGCTCTACCGACTGAGCTAAATCCAGACCAGACGGTGGAGTTTTACTGTGTGAATCAAGTGTACAAGTCACACTCGTACGAAGGACACGAAAAGTCAATTGTATACTTGCGCATGCTGAAAGTGAGAAACCCAACGAATTGACTCTAGAAAGAAACTTAAGATTAATTAGGAAACAAAGAAAATTTTTTTGACCCCTACGAGATTTTTAACGGGCTGTCATGCTAAGAAGAGGGTCCTCAATAGGTTTCGCGGGATACGTGATTTCCCTCATTTGAAGCTCGGGATTCGGGATTTTAAAGCAAAATCAGAGCGAGATTTGGGATTGAAAGTATGAGCGGGAGGTGGGATGCCAAAAATAACCCTCGGGATTACGGGATTGCATGAAGTTTTGGGTCGGGATTACGGGAGTGAAGAACCCTATTGGGGACCTTCTGAGAATGAAAGCCTGCTTTCTCCGGGTTTCCATTACAGATCCCTCGTCGCTAGCCGTTTTGGAAAACTTCATCTTAACTTACATCTTTCTTACCCAATGCTTCCCAATACTCCTGCCATATCAAAACACCGAGCTAGTTCACACAGCTGGTATACACCTGAATTTTAGTCGATTTGCTGGTATACTAACATCCCTCTGGCCTGTCACAGCCTTACCTTAAGATCTCCTTGAATTCAAAGCCATCTTCATTGCTAATAACCGTGCCGAAATAAATAAAAAAAATAAAAGTCATCAATGAATTCCAGTTTCGCCGGATATCTGGGGTGAGAGCATCACCTTGTCGCCCCATGTAAGGGAATCCAAGACAATCCTGGATTCTGAATTCCACGTCGTGGATCGTTAGTGGCATTCCTGATATCCTTGAGCTACATTCCGGATTGCAAAGCCCAGGATCCGAATTCCACAAGCAAAATTTCCAGGATTCCAAATACCATTAGCAAAAACATTTCAGGGATTCCGGATTTGGATTCTATTGCATGGCCCTAATAACGCTGCCCGAATAAATAAAAAAATAAAAGTCATCAATGAATTCCAGTTTCGCTGGATATCTAGGCTGAGAGCATTGCCCTGTCGCCCCATGTAAGGGAATCCAGGACAATCCTGGATTCTGAATTCCACGTCGTGGATCCCCGATTCCAATCGTTAGTGGCATTCCGGATATCCTTGAGCTACATTCTGGATTGCAAAGCCCAGGATCCGAATTCCACAAGCAAAATTTCCAGGATTCCAGATACCATTAGCAAAAATATTTCAGGGATTCCGGATTTGGATTCTCTTGCATAGCCCGAGCCTTGGGCTCTTGGCAAATCCGATAATGTCCCCCCGGGAAGGGGGGGGGGGGCGTACTCCTGGGAATTCTTGGTAAGCGTATGCCGCCCGGTTCTCCAAATCCTGACCCTATTTCAGACCAAAAAATGTAATTTTCCATACCCGCTTTCAGACCTGGCCTTTATGCAGAAATTATGTTATAATTACATATATTAGAGCGGAAAGAAAAAAATATATATTTAAATCCACTCCGTAGTTCCCTCGAAAACCATACCCGATCCCTGACCAAAATGGGCAAAGCGTATACCCGTTTTCAGACCGAAACCACTCAAAAACCCTACCCGATGGGGTTGCAGAAACCTATATAGCTTATATAAGGAAGTATCCCTCCCCCGGGTACTGTCTTTTTCATCTTAAAGATGAGCACGATTACTCGAGAGTATAGCCAAGTTATCGTCACTTTCAGATGAGTAAAGAAGGTCCAACTGCATATAAAACTCCTATGTTGACTTGTTTCTCTCAGAGATAGAGGATTCAACCATTCAACACAGTCCTGCTCCTCTTGCGTATTGCGAGGAATGATTTTGGTAAATTTGGTTTGCAGTAAGACGCGGCAGATACTTACAGGTTGTCTTACATTTGCAGATAAAAAATGTCATACCTCTCACAGTTGGTGAAAATTCATAGTCATATCAAATGTGTTGTAGAGCCGAGCTGATTCTCTAATGCAACAACATTGACAATCTGAAATGTAAATCCACAAAGTAGACCAGGATGTCATATGCTGAATTCATTGCATTGTTTGCTTTTATTCTGGGAAGCGCAAGACTGATCAAGGCAGTAGACTGTCAAGGCGAACAAAAGACCCTTGGTAAAAGCTATCAATACAAATTTAATGGTTGGAAAAGTTGTTTGTTAAAGGAAAGGAAACGGTAAATAAAATCCATTATATACTTTTTCATACGTTTCATACATGAGCCTTGGGCTCGGATGATCGGCGCAACCCCATCCCACGTATTGACATAAATAATTGGTTGATTGATTTCTTGATTTCTTGATAACCTTTTGGGAAAGAAATTTTTAATAGTAAAGAGTAATTTTTTTTGATTGCCCTGGGACAGAGAATAATCAGTTCTATTAGGCAGATCAGGTAAAATAAATGGAATGTAATGAGTGATATTCAAGAGTAAGCCGATGACTACATCTGTTAACATCAGCGAAAAAAGATCGCTGCTTCGAGACAGGAACAGTAGCCATCATTGCCAAGTGAAGCCCGACACTCAAAAAAGAATACTTCCGGGTGAACATTCTGTTCCCTGGAGGGCAAATAAGTGTGAGGGGGGAGAAACGGACCAAACAAAAGGAGCCTAGGTTTGTTCATATTAGTTTTTAAGGTTGTTGCATTTTTAGGCCACTACAATGTGAATAGTTATGTCAATTCTCCAAAGACTGTTTCCCCCCTTTCTACGACCTTAACTTTAGTCCAAAAATAGTTATATCCATTTTAGGAAAATTAGTGCCTTACTTCTCCCTTTACTGTCAACGCAACAGAAATAATGACCTTCAGCGAACACATGGGAATATTATTTTCAAGAAAAGAAGTATTTGATTGAGTTAAAGCAAGATGTCGGGAGAGCATCACGTCCAGCCTGTCCTCTTCGCAATTTTTGCTGCAGCTATGCTTCTTGCTCAAGGAAGTCAAGGTACACCTACCTTAAAATATTTTTTGTTTACTTAATACTCTAAACAACACATTTCATAAGGTGCTGATAGTATTTGGCGTTTTCCAACACTGAAATTGTATGTTTCGTTGTGAGGAAGAAAGAAAGATATCGGGTGGGGCGGACAAGGAAGAAAATACTTCAAAGAATCTTACTCTCCCTGTTTTAACAGTTCAGAACTAAAGTGAGTATTCTATCTTTTAAAAACAGTTGTTTTTCTTTTACAGCCGCCAGTTTTAAATCTGGGAAAATCAATAATATCACTGCCAGGAGCTCAGGGTTATTTGCTTGCGAGAAAATTACCTTTGAGGAACCATTCTCTCGCGGAAAGCAGGTGAAAGTGTTTCTTTCACCTGGTAACTCAACTAATGGTGCTGCTGTTTGGGTGGAATCAGAAGATCAAAGTCAATTTCGCGCTTGCATCTACGAGTACAGCAATGGCTCGAATGCAGCTGCGGAATTAAACTGGATTGCCTTGTAATCTGCCCCCTCCGGAGCACAACTAGGAACCACTTCCTTGGACTCTTGGACGACAGGAACAAAGTGTAAGAAGGTCGATTTTCCTCAGGTTAGTTTAATTTTCAAAAGATAAGTAAGTTTACGTAAAAACTGGCCTTGATGAATTATAAAAAGAAAGGATCCTTGGTGGTCAGGCGGGGTTCAGATGGAGGATGTTACGTTGAATTACCGACCCATTTGGTCACTTGAGTTAAAGTTCACATATCCATTACTGTAAAATTCCGAAAATAAACCCCGGGGCTTATATTTTTCAAAGACCCTTTTTGAGGGGCTTATGAATGGAGGGAAATTTGCGTTTCAAAATCGATTGGGCTGTGGGCTGGCTTGTATTAGCAAGGGAATTTACCATTTTTGCTTTGTTTTACTTTGTATTCGAGGGCAAATTCCAAGTACAAGCCCCTCGGGGGGGGGGGGGGG